TATATATATATAACCAAAAAACAGGTCCCCCATAAATATAGGGCCTAAAGTATTTGATTTAACCGCTTTATGGATGGGCCGCCCCTGAGTTGAACTAACAACAACGTAAACTTGTGAAGAAAGTCTTATTTAACTCAAACAAACCTAATTACAACATTAACGAGCAGCATTTATGTTATGAATGAAAATAACATCTTGGAGGACCTATTGAGAAATTTGGCAAGTTATGTGTGGGACCCGGGTTAGAAAATGCTTAAATAGCATTAGGTTAGTAAAGGAAGGTATGACATTGTATTGTGAAGTTCCTTCCCCTTCCTCTTGAGTCTGTCTTCTTACCCCTAGGGGCTTATATCCTTTGTCCTATGCGGTGTCACGAGACATCACTTAGCCGATTTTTTTTACTAGTTATATATAAAAAAATAAAAATATTAGGAATAAATTTAGTAAATGACATCGCTTACAACTACAATAAGTTATTTATTTGTTCATTTCTTCAAATTGTGACACTGCTTATGAAAAAAACCATGCGTACGCACACCCTTTTCTATTTCTGTATCTCTTCTCATTCCCTTCTGCTTACTCTTCTATTGTTTCTTTAATTCCGTTATTATTTCTTATTTCAACTATAATTAGTTTAGTGATTATAATATACAAACTGTGGTTGTATTGAGAAATTGGGTTCATTACAATTTATCACTCGTACCTACCATTACGATAATACTTTGGCCTTTTCTTTTCTAATAGTAATTGCATTGCTGGTTTGACAAGTGTCAGTGGTAGGGAGATTGGCACGGACAATAAATATCCTCCAATTAATTGAATTAAGTTTCAGTTTCTGCCCTTTAATTGCTTTTTGACCAATTTGGTCACAGTTCAGTGTTCGGCCTACCCATTAGATGCATCTTACGTTATGCTATATACCAAAATTAACATCTAAATTAATGTGATTTCAATTCAAAGACAGAGCTGTCCATGAAAAAAAGCTAAACATTAAATCAGACCCATAAATCACTTGGATCCACCCGGGCCCATTATCTTGATATGAAAGATATCTACCTCAAACTATTTTTCTAGAGTAATTACTCCATACTATAAAAGATGGTGACAATTTTATAAATAATCCTTACATAAAAAATATATTTCCAAATGACGAAATTATATATCATTCTATGACTATTTCATCAACTTTTTGGACAATTTCCCTATATGAAACGTATAATATGTAGTACACATGTGATTGGTCTATAGCCTGTTTGGTCAAGTTTTTTCAAAGTTATTTTTTTTTAAAAAATAAATATTTTTTGTTCAAAATTGAAGTGTTTGACCAAGTTTTTTTTTAAAAAAAGTACTTTTAATTAGAAGCATAAACAGTTTTGAAGAAGTAGAAAAAATGGCTTCTCTCAAAAAGCACTATTTTGAAAAGTACTTTTGAGAAAAATATACTTAGAAATAGTTTTTAAAAGTTTGGCCAAACACTAATTGCTGCTCAGAAGTGTTTTTCAAATTAATTAGCCCAACACAAACTGTTTCTCACCAAAAGTATTTTTGAGAAAAACACATATAAAAAAAAATACTTCTCAAAATAAACTGATTTTTACGGTTTGGCCAAACATGTTGTTAGTTCGATTTGGGTCGAACTTTATTATATTTACTACCAAACAAATTAATTATTTTATAGTTTTAACTTTAATACCAACTAGTTCCAGATCAAACCACAAATCTATTTTCAAGGTCAGTTTGATGTGCAAATGCGATCCATATTTTAGTTTTTCGAGAAAAAGAAAGAGAAAATATAACGCTTCAAAGATTTCTTGATATTATATAATATCTTATGTTATTTTTTATTGATTTTTTATAGACGAGTCATATACTTGTGTGATAAATTATACAAAATCAAATATGTTACTACTATTCAGTTTCAATATCCCTAGAACCTTCTTCTCGTGATATACTGACCTCCTGGCTGCTAAAAAGTAAAAAGAAAATAAAAATAAAAATAAAAATAATATAAAATAAACGAGTGGAGAATAGGTAACCTCTGACCGGCTATTGCCAGTATTCACCACCTATAAATACCTCAATCCTCCCTTCTATCTTCAGTCTAATATTCATTCACCCACCACCACCAAGTCTTCCATTGCTATTTTCCGGAAAACTCTCCGGCCAACGTCTCCTTCTCTATTTTCAGCACTCCTGANCAACGTCTCCTTCTCTATTTTCAGCGCTCTTGAAAATCCCGCATTTGTATGGCAGTAAGTTTTCTGAATCGGGAGGTATCAGACCTGTGCCTTGGTAAGCCGGCATTAAAGCCTATTCCGGCAAAAGCCACCGTATCGGAGGCGTTAACGGCGTTGAAAAAATCCGGCGAGACCCATGTAAGCGTTTGGAGCTGTGACCATCCCAAGAAGGTTCTAGAAGAAGGTGACGCTGGGGCTGATTCTGTGTGCCGCTGTGTAGGGAAGATCTCTATGGTAGATGTGATTTGCTTTCTTTCTAAAGAAGACAATTTGGTTAATCCTTCTAAGGCTCTTGAGACTCCTGTGGCTCAGATTTTGCCTAAAGGGGATTCCATTGTTAGGCATTTGGATCCCAATTCAAGGTTTGTGATTTTTTTATTTTTTTAATTAATTGGCTAATTGATATGAATTCTTAGATTCTTGAAACGTATAATTAATGACATTTGAGGAAAGCGGAAATGTAGAATGAATTATTATTAAAAGATAATATATGTGTGGGTACTGCTAAAGAATATGCTGAAACAAAAAGGAACCTTTTTGTAACTCGAGAGTCAAGATCCAATTTTTTAATCAGTTGACTTGTCTTTTCGGGCATAATGTATCTCTACTTTTTCAGCATCAAATGGTGATGATTTGTTTAATTCTCTTTTTGCCCTTTTCTGATTTAGTTTTCTGTTTATGTGAATAACCTTTGGCACATTACTAACCATCTTTTGAGGCTTTTGATATATGTGTGGAGCTCATACAATTGATGCTTTGCTAGATATTTATTCTACGTATTTTTGGCCCCAAGTCCCCAACTATGTTGCTCGGATCCTAGTTGCTAGATACAATTGATGCTTTGCTAGATATTTATTCTACGTATTTTTGATATATGTGTGGAGCTCATACATTTTTAGGATCCGAGCAACATAGGGTCCTGACTGGTTTGAGATGGAGACATAGTTAATTGATTGATTGATATTATTGGCAGACTTCTCATGTGTCTTTCTTATTTGGTTTCAGCTTGCTGGAAGCAATAGATTACATTCTTGAAGGCGCCCAGAACCTGGTTATACCGATTCAAAACTACAGGAGCACGCCTTCGAGGAAAAGGCTTTTGAGTAAAGCGTCCTCACTGCTTCCCACAAATCATAACGGAGTTGAATACTGCTGGCTAACACAGGAAGACATTGTCCGGTTCCTTCTCAACTCCATTGGAGTCTTCTCTCCTATGCCCACATTCTCGATCGATTCACTCAACATCATAAATCACGACATCATGACTGTTCGCTACCACGATCCTGCAATCTCTTCCTTGGATGCCATTACTCTCGCGCATATTGAGCAAAGTTCAGTTGCAGTTGTTGATGAAGACAACCGGTTGATTGGTGAAATCTCCCCTTTCACTCTGGCCTATTGTGATGAAACTGTTGCAGCTGCAATCGCGACTCTTTCAGCTGGTGATCTTATGGCATACATTGACTATGGTGGTCCTGCAGAGGATTTGGTCGAGTTGGTCAAGACGAGGCTTCAAGATAAGAAACTCGAGGCAATGGTGGAACTAATAGATGAAGAGTTTTCACTGTCTTCATCATCATCTTCTGCTTCGAGTTGTTCATCAGACGATGAATCAGGCTCGAGCAGAAATACTGTGCTGGGACGATTTTCTTCAGCTAGAAGGTCCGAGGCGATTACTTGTTATCCATGGAGTTCGTTGGTGGCTGTAATGATTCAAGCTCTTGCACATCGTGCTAATTCCATTTGGGTCATGGATGCGGATAATAATTTGATTGGAGTTGTAACATTTAAAGGAATTCTGGAAGTTTTCAGGAGTATTGCTAATGCGAGGCGTAAACCAGGAAGGGAGAATACATCAAAGCAATAACAACAACATATTGCCATATCAGTTGTGTTAAATTTCTTTTAAATGGGACTATGTTTTGCATAAATTTTGCTTTAATGAACAGAAGGCTTATTGGTGGTGATTGAAAATATTTTGTTTGAACTGCTATCATTTGTCTCTTTTTTCCTTTTTGGGAAAAATCTATCAGTGTCAGTCTATGATATTTTGCTCATATAAAAGAAAAAATATCTGAGTTTTGTGTGGACTGAAGTTTTTCAATCAATTATCCAGAAAGTCGTACATATTTTTGACAGAAATAATCATATTTCAAGAATCGAGAGACTAAAGAATTGCCTTTGTCTGAATACCTACTTTCTGGCAAGGGAAACAAGGTATTTTTCTGGAATATAGTGCTGTTGAATTACACAGCTAATTTGATCATAATCAAGTCCAGCAAGAGGAATTTTATGGGTAAATACTTACCCCGCACCCGGTATTTACATCGTACTAATTGAACATACCATAGTTAACTGATTAAATAAAGTGAAAACATGTATTAGTTAATCATGATTAAGAAAAGAATCCATATTTTTGTCGGCTTAGTGTAAACGGTAAGTTTTTACTAAATTTTATGTCACAACAATTCCTTAGTGCTAAACAGCCAAAATTTTCAAAATAAATGGATGTCAAGAAGAATGTTCTGCACTACAATTTTGTAATGCTAAAACCATCAAATGTAGAATTATTTTCTTAAGCTATACTGAATGTGAGCAAGCATAGTTTGGATAGGTGGTTAGTTTAATAAGGTTAAACTTAGTAATACACAATTCACTAAATGATCGTCGGCTCCTACCAGAAGTCTAAATCAATAACGTGCGTGAGAATAATAAAGAAGAAATTTGGAGATTAACACGAAATGTAAATATATGAATTGTTTTATTATTCGTTATATCCGAGTAAGATGATTTAGGAGGAACAAAAAGACAGCAGGTTGTTTACATAATTGATAACAATTTATTAAGTTTCTCACGAAGAAATGAATACAGATGTTAACAGATAAAAATTCAAATTGAACACATTACGATCATTCGATTGTAAGAGAAAATCTAAGTGAAAAGTCTCAACCTGCAAAGCAAATTTCAAAGCATTTGCTAACTACTATATAAAGTGGTTTAATTGTATTTCAATAAAAATCTTACTTTCTCAAGTTATGAATGAATCGGGCAAAATTAACAATATAAGCAAAACGAAATACAAAAGCAAACTCCTTTCCAACAATAGACAAGGACGAACAATCACCACCTTCAGCACATTCTGAATGATGTCAAGTCACCAAATAATTCCAATTTCAGTTACATTTTGTTTTGGACAATAAGACATCCAAGTGCTTAAGCCAGCTTGATGATGAAATGCCAGCTTTTATAACTAACATCAAGAAGTGAAGCCAAGACCAAAAAACATGTTTTCAGGGCTCTGTCTTTGTGTGTGGGTGTGTGCTGGCTTTACTCAAAGGAAATTCCTTTTCTCTCAGACAATCCAAAACAAAATACTACTACAAGTTTCCCAGTTTGATTCGAATCCTTGACGATATGTAAACATAAGTTAGTTTTGGTTTTCCAATTTAGCAAGTAGTTGCATTTAGTTATCAACCTCTAGTGATATCACTAGTGATGTTAGTGATGATCAATGAGATAAAGGAAAAGCGAAAAGAATTATGCACAATTCGAAAAAATAGCCATAAAAACGTTTAAATAAAACTGCTAATAGCACTACTAAATATGTAGAATACACCTTAAAATGAAGCTAGTAGTTATCATGGGCAGATATATGAAAAATTAAAAGCTTTAGCAGACTTTACAAGCCTAATTGATAGAGTTGCCTTTTCCAATTTTAGATATATAATTGGAGTAAATTAAAAGGACTTAAAATAGAATTGACCAAGTATAGCAGGTAGGAATTGACTGGTTTGCTAATCAAGAAGAGTTTCCTTCTGATATTGTCAATCTTTTGATAGATGAGTAAGAACTTTGTTATTTAGCAAGGCTTGAGGAAAAGAAATAGCTCACTCCTCATTATCTCGACCACACGGTAATGCCAAATCTGTAAGCTTGTCTTATGCAAGGAATTAATATTATCAAAATGGTGAAAAAGAAGGATAACTAACATTCATGATATGACTATCTATACCAGTACTTGAGCTCAGATATGCAGGATGACAAGGCCTCTCGTGCTTGAAGGTTATCGGAGTCCATATGAAGGGCGTCTTGATATAACCTTTGAGCCTGCTGCAATAACTTCACCTTCTCTCTACTAGTTCTAGGCCGTAGGCGAGATCTGTGCTGCAATGCTGTGGCCCATCTGAAAAGAGCTGTACAAAGAAAAAATTGTTTTAAGCCCGCATGTCAAGTAATCCAAAACTGAACTCTTCTATTCTCCTTCTCTTGGGAAATAACACAACACTAATGATGCTGATGCTACTCGTACATTAAAGCCTAGCTATATAATGACCAGCTCAATACTTCATGAAAACAACTATTAACAGCTCAAATGTGGGGAGGGGGATGGTATTTGTTTTGCCACGCGCTCTTTCTAGTTCATTTGTTATCTACAACTCCAAGTTCACCAAATATATCACATATGTTTTACCATTTCAAGCTTAGCAAAGAAGAAAGTAGAAAGAGACTGTAAGAAAAGATTAAAAAAGAGTGTGCATAAGTTTATCCAGGATATCCGTCAAATGGTGTAATCAGCTGGCCCTGAGATACACCTGCTTTCTTATTTTAGTTAATAGTCAACACATTTTGGAACTTCAGAAGAAAGAAGGGGGAGTGAAAGCTCCTTTATTTTTGATAGATTTCATTACTTGTAAGCATGTTAAGTTCCACAGCGAAAGAGAGGAAGAAGAAGAGAAGAGTTAAAAAATGGTCATGGTTGGAAGTTGGAACGATTATAAGTCCAGAATTCTCAACAGTGACGGTGAATATTTTTTCCTACTTTTCTTATTAAATTTAAAAGAAAAAAGACAGACAGAAAGAAAGAAGACCATGGATTAGTACACTCAAAAAACGATCAACTTATCAAAAAAGTACACATAAAAGCCATCAAAATATAGTATAACAGAATAGCTGTTTCTCATACCATCGGGTGCATATACAGTGCCTCTAGACATCATAGCGTCAAACTTATCAATTGCAGCCAAGAAAACCTTGTCAGCATCACGTGCAGCACCCTGAAATTTTCCAGAAGAACTGTGAGTCTGTGACTATGAAAGCAGTAGCAAAAGTTCCCAAACAATGTGATTGCTTTGGAAAAAGAGCACTAAGCCTCTAAGCAATGCTATTAATTTAAACTTAGTCCAAAATATGAGATTTAACCTTTTTTCACAATATTTGGGTTCAAACCACCAGAACAACGAAATTTTCTTAAAGTAAACCTAGTAATCTCAAGGAAGATGCTTACAGGTCCAATGTCTGCAATCAACTGTGCACGCAAAGAGAGAGCAATGCCCCAATTATACAAGGCTCTCACGTCATTCCCATCAATCGACAAGGCCAACCTATACTGTCTTCCTGCCTTAATAAGTAATTCTTCACACTCTTCACAGACATTTACAAGATAAGATGTAAGTTTGTCTTTCCTAGGAACCATATCATCTAGCCCATCACGTATTTTAGTCTGTTTATATACTGATACAGTATCAGTTAGTAAAGCTCTCAAATCTTTACTGATCCTTAACTTTAGTTCTCCATGAAGAAGGTAAGTATTTCCCAACTGTCCCACAGCCAATAAACTCATGGGTCGGATGTCTATAGCTTTTGAGAGTAATATGGCAGACTTGTAAAGCGCATCCTCCGCATGCCTGTCACTGGCTTGCCTCCTCAAACATTCCTTCACTTCTTTTACTAGAAAATTAGCCTCAGTAAGGTACTTATTAAATTGCAAATCAATGGAACCTACTGAAGATGGAGAGGAACCAAATTCACATTCATTTGAGGCCTCATCGCTATCCATAAATGGTTCCTTTTCATGATTTCTCATCTCCTCACTAAGAAATTGTCTGTAAGTGTCTTCATCATTTTCTTTTCCACCACAATGGCTACTTATTCCTTCTAAATTCTCCACGTTCTGTTCATGCAAAGATGACACTTCAGTTTTAGTTTGCTCCATATTGACGTTAAAATCCATAGAATCAACTAAACCATCATCAGATGCCCAAGATTCAAATTCACTAGGATGACTCGTTCTATGAGATACCCGATGGTTCCTCATAAATTGTACTCTGCTTGTCTGATAACTATATTCTTCTCTATTGAAAACTGAATTAACTGTGTTACTATCCATCTCGGAAAAATTAACATCCTCATCAGAAATTACATTTGTTTTACCAGCCTTCCCAAATGTCCCACCCACTTTGTCTTGCCTAATCGCGTCATTATCAGAACTGTGCCGTGAAGTGCCACTAATGCCGTCTAGATTCATATCAAACGGTGAACTTGAATGTCTTTCTTTAGTAGCAGAAGTCAAGATATTCCCTTGCTTGGAGTCATTCATCTTTGTGTCCATCAATTCAATCTCACCATAATCTTTCATTTTACTGGACTTCAAATCCGGCTTCATTTGAAACAAACCCGCTGCAATCCGAGAGAAGTCAAAGCCATTTTTACCTGGCTCCTTCTTCTTCTTACTTGACTTTTGACTAAAATTTCTTTCCATCTCTTGACTCTCAATAGACAAACTTTCAATACAACCTTCTGTAACCTTTCTAACATTAAGAGCAGAAAATTTCATAGATTCCAGAATCTTCTCAAAACCTTGCAAATCATCCACAGTAATTTGATTAAACTCAATACCTTTCCTAACACCCTTCTTCAAATTACCAATTTCCACATCAAAACCATTAAGAAAATTCACCAAATTCCTGAATTTCTCAGCAAAACCTCTAAGAATCTGATCTTGAGGCAATTTCTTATTATTATCTAAGCTCATTTTACCCCCATTAACAAACCCCATTGAAAACCCAAGTGCAAATACAATAACACAACCTGGAATTACTATAATTGAGGAAACTTTCACCCTTGAAATTGCTAGAGCACAAACAAACCCCAAAAGGTAAACAAAGACATATTTTTTATCATTAATTCCCAGGGAATTAAGAAAATTGTGAAGCTGATTAGACTCACCAGGGTTAATTGGGTCACTAATTAATCTTGGGTCATCCCAACCACCACAAGATAATGACTCAGAAGCTGTAACAGAGCACAAAGT